CGGCGACAGTTTGCGCCTAGCTCATACTTACCGCTAACTTCTTAACTTTTCGCATTTGCTGATGTAATTGATGACTTTATTTCTGTTTATCGATATGAATAGGGAGCTTAAGGGCGAAAGCCTCATTCCCTTTATAAACTGACCTAAACTGATCCTCCCGCTTCCTCTACCCGTAAACGCGCTACCTTCCTTGCATCCAGGTATACATTCCTTTGGGATTACTTGTGAACTGCTTTAAAATCGTCAATTGGTATGAGTGCCTTTAAGAGAACACTGTGTGTTTGTGACTCCGCGGACATGATTACCTTGTATATTCTCATCCTTCCCGAGCAGCATCCTTCATGCATTTAAATAAGTACCTTTTGGCATTCAGGCTACCGTCGTCGCCGAACTACCTAGTCCGCTCACATTTCCCTCTCCGCGCATAATTTCACTTTCCACGATCCCTCAGCATAAATGTCCAGTTTTTATTCCATGCATCATACCTTTCACAAAACGCGATGTATTCCCTAAACAACCTCTCAAGGAATCAATTAAGGTCTTATTTACGTGCACGCCGTAAGTCGCCTCCGTCTCGCCCACAGCCAACCCTTATCAGGATTACGTTCTGGTCACCGGTCACCCAAATTAACAGTCTCACTCTATGACTGCTACCATCCAACATCCCCATGCCCAATACGATGGCAATTAGTTTTCTTTTGCTGATTTCCCTAAGTCGATCGAAGTCGATAAAATGGGGGTTTTGGCGGATTTTGATTAATTCACTGTGACCCAACTGTGAAAACTCGGCGACCTCGATGAGGCCCCACCGGGAGCCGTGATTTTAGTCACATTTCTGCCAAGTTGTCCGTCAAGCCTACTGCAACGTCTGGAATCTACCAAATCGGATACAGTAAACTGACTGCCCAACCAGGATTTCCTAAATAATCCGTAGAGGATCCAACCGATTACTACGAGGCTGATTTTGAATAATTCTAGATAGATTACCTAGGAAAGCCTGTTTAAGCAGACAGTTTAATGCGTCAGATTTAGTGGATTTCGTTATGACCCGCCTGGTACTTGAAATCCCGTGGAGCGTAGATGCACTCGACCCTGGTCCCCAATAGCAAAGCAGAAGACAAAGAAAACACGGCTGGCCACGGGAAGTATATTAGTAAAACACTACAAGTCGCGACTAGCTAAAGGTGACGCATATTTATAACACCCTACTGTGGTTCGCCGGCATTCGGCCCAATGACCTTTGGGAAGAGGGGAGTAGCCAATGGAAAGGCGCCTGATTGAGATGACAGCGCTGTAAAGAGAACAAACGCACATGATCTCCAGTGATTGGTTCGCTCTTGTTTTTGGGAGTGTAGGCACTCCCAACAGATTCCAGATGCTGCAGTAGGTTGTGCGGGTAACTTGGCCCAAATGTAAATAAATTCACGGCTCCCGGTGGGGCCTCGTAACTCAGGTGGCTTAAGCGTTGGCCAAACTATAGCTTTCCCCTTACTGTCGTGGGTTCGAATCCAACCGAGGTCTCCGAGTGTTTCACAGTTGGGTCAAAATGAATTAAGTC